TCTGGTCTAGACTATTTCTACTGGCACCTAATTATTATAACAATTACTGTTCAGGTATGCCGACCAGCAATGTAATGGGGTTTGCATGGTAAAAGCATTGTGAACACATCAGTTCATCTACAAGCACTGTTTGAAGATGAAAATTCAGACATCATACTTATCACGGAATCCTGGCCGTTGCCATGAACTTCAACTTTAGTTTCACCAACCCAAGTGCACAAGAAATCAAGTTTATATCGTGTGTGAACAGTGTGAATGTTAAGCAGTTGGTTATTTTTTTTGCATACGTAAAAGCAATAATTATCTGTTCATTTTAGATCATGTATATTCGAACAAAGATAAGGTTCTTACAGATGTTGCCTGGCATCATGGGTAGTGACCATGAAGGTATTTTATTTTATATGTGTCTTAGTCTGTGTAAGCCAATTTTATTTTACAAAGATGAATGTCATTGAATTTGCTCAAGTTTTAGCTTCTACCGACTGGTCATATGATGACAGTGATGATGTTAATAACGTTAATGATGTTAGGTGGTATGACTTTAAATTAAAGCTTGTCAATATTTTCGGCCGATTTATTCATTCTTAAGAGAAAGACCAACTCAAATACTTAGGTTGATTAGCAATAAGAACAGGTTGCATATGAAAATCCGTAGGTCAAAATCCGTTGGCAAGTGGAACAGATATCAGACTTGTAGAAATCAACTAAAAGCTGCTACACGTAAGTCATACTTAAGGTTGCTTTGAAAAATGGCAAAAAGCTCTAACGATCATTGAAAATCGTTTTTGTCTTTCGTTCATTGCTCAAAAGGAATGCCTTCTTTTTGTCTCATTTACTATCGGGGGTAGAATTGTGAGAGATACTCAACAAATTGCTAATTAGTTTAGTAAGTTATTTTTAACATATTTTTTTTTCAGTTGATGGTGTGCCTAACGATGCACAACAAACTGAAAAAGCTACTAATGAGATTAGCCCTCTTTCACCTACTATAACTAATGCACAAACAGTTTTAAAAATGATCAATAAGTTGAAATTTGGCATCAACTTGTCCTGATGGCATAACGTCCACCATGCTTAAGCTAACTGCAATTTATGTATGTGAGTCTTTTCCCAATATATTCAATCTAAGCTTAAGGACTGGTGTGTGTCCTATAGATTGGACGGTAGCAAATATCGTGCCGATATTTAAGAAGGGAGACAAAGTATAACATAGGAAATTACAGGCCAATTTTCCTTTGCTTTGTGGTGGTAGGTAAACTTCTCGAAAACGTAGTAAAGAAGAACCTAAATCATTATATCGAGTGCAAGAACTTGGTATCACCTTGGCAACATGTATTCGCGTCTGGTAGATCAACTTATGAGTACAGTTACCCAACACTGGGTCACCATACTTGATGAAAGAAATCCACTGAGAATTGATGCTTTGTTTAAAGATTTTTCTAAAGAGTTCGATATCTTTATTCACAGAGTGTTACTTTGTAAAATTAGTGCATATGGTATATGGCTGTTCTCATTTCTTACCGACAGAAAGCAGACAGTTCGCTTCAGAAGATCTTCTTTTGAAGAGTTTACTGTTAATTCTGGTGTCCTTCAAGGATCGGTCTTTGGAACGTTAGTGTTTAACAGTTAAGTGTTAAACTTAATTACTATCAGTTTAGTTGTCCCCCAGTATGCAGACGATACTATGCTTAATATGGTTATCAGATCGCCAGAGGATAAATTGTTGCAACGTGTTATTAACAAGCTGTAGACTGGAAGTATATCTGGCAGTCTAAAGTAAAAAATACAGAAGAGAGAAAATTGGCAGAATTTAATTTTAAACTGTTGCACAGAACGATTCCAACGGGAAAACGTTTATTGCTCTGGAATATTGCCGATACAGAAATATGTTATTTATGTAACGAAGTAGAGGCCGAAGAACACTTGTTTTTCTCCTGTAAACGCTTTAAAGGGATTCTGGCAAAAATACAATACATTCTGCGAAATTTATTAAGAAATATACAAATATCGTATCAAATTATGTTAGGATCAACAGAATTAATGGATAATTATAATGTAAACAATCAGGTAATCACTGTTTTTGCAAGAAAATGAAAAAAGCGAAAATGTATTAATTGAATGAATGTATTGTCTGTTGTAGGATGATAAACTTGAAAGTGGTTTTATTTACAATGTTTTATATTTTGATTTTGAACATGCAGATTTAATTTCTTATTCTGAAATTCATTAGTATTATGTTCAGATTATATTTTTATTATTGAATAAATGTGGCTTTGCCAGAAAAGAGAGAAAACAAAGCTGCACTCGTAGTATAAGGTCAACTACACGAGGTTGAAAAATGAAAAATGTTTAGCTATGCACATTAGTAGGTCTGTGCGCTGTCAGTACTTACAATGTTGTGGAAATGTTATTCGTAAGGTTTTATCTGCTAGATATTTAGAAGTAACCATTACCAAACATGCTAAAATAACTACATCAAAAGTATTTACAATGAATGGTTTTATCTGCTGAATTGTACAGTGCACAGATAGTACTATCCAAAAAAAACATTACATCACACTTTTTAGACCAATCGTAGAGCATGGAATTCCGGGTTGGATTATATATGCCCAAAAAGGGTATAATACTTCTCTAGAGACTTGAGTATGACTTACGTGTAGCAGCTTTTAGTTAATTTCTACAAACCTGATATATCTAATGTTTGGTTAATACACGTCACACAGATCAGCTCTGATTTAGACACAGCTTTGCTCGAACCACAGCTCTAAAATTTTCTGCCGTTAACTTATCTCCACGACTCTGAAAGGAGGTTCCTGTGGATGTTAGAGACAACCTCCTGCATAGTCTAAATATTTTCAACTTTGACTCTTGGAATAATTTAACATACACTATTGAAAATGTCACTATAATAATTATGAATAATGAATTAAGTTACAATAATAATCTATAACATTAAATTCAATTTTAGTTTTCAAATCCATTCAGAAGATTCTTTACTTTTTTTTTTATTTTCATATTGCATTTAATAATTTTAGTTATTTTTTACACTTTTAATTTTTTAAAATCTTAACGTTAAAGCCTTTTTTAACCCTTTGCTTTTTTGCATGTTGTGCCTTCTGTTAATTTTTTATTTATTATTATTATACAAAAAATAATTTTATACAGTATTTTTATATATTTCAACCATTTTTTTAAATTTTTTATTTGATTTTATTTTAGCTGTGTATTATTTACCCACCCACCCCCAGCACGCACACACACACCTGTCTCTTATACACATCTTAGAATAGGCACAATGAATAGCCCTCTTTGTCATATTTAAGTTCATATATTTATATATAGAATTATATATATATATAGCTCACTGACTGTAAGGGTCCTTCACAATTATCAACATTTTCACAAGTGTACAAAGAGTACACTTTTTCATGACCCCCCTCCCCCTGAAAGTGTACAAGAAAAATGTTGATTTTTTTTTTTTGGCATCTCGGAACAGCCAGTTTAATAAATAAGTAAATTCAATACAAGACACATTAAATTGTACTATGTGTAAAACAATAAATTTATTTATCTCTGCAGTGGTTCTCATGGTAGCGGCTTATTTTAGCCTTAATGAGAGTCTCCCGACTATCAATGTGCTATAATTTAATTACAGTATACACAATATTTGTTTGTTATAATTTTGTTAACGCTCGCGGCTTTGATCATTCAATTTGGCATTGGCGCCTTATAAATTATTATTATTATTATAATTTTGGACAAATAAAACAATCTGAGTTGTGAGTTGAGTTGTGAGTTGAGTTGTGAGTTCAGGTCTGAGTTATTGTTGACTAATCCGTATGAAGTAGTGTACATTGCCACTACTAATAGTTAAATCTGTAGCAGGAGCACCTTTTGGTTCATAAACTTCCACTTGAATAGTATTGGGTACATTTTTATCTTTGACTGTTTGGTGGAGCATGCTTATTAAATGTGTTAAGGAGTGTTTGAGTAAGTCTGTGTCCGATCTAACATATCAAATATTGATAAAATTGGAATTTTGTTTATTGTTTAATGACAATAGGAAATTCAAAGATATTGCCGCTATACAACGAACATGGTCTTTGTAAGGGAACAAATGGGGGGGGGGGGCGGCAACACATACAGCGTTGGGAGACATTTTTAATTTGTTGTTAAAATTTTAAATGTTCTTTAAGTAACAGTTTATAGTGCCTTTATATTTCCTTTCGTTGTCTGTGCTGTTTAGTGAACTTTTGTAATCTAGTTTGGTGTTTCTTTCTTGTCTGTTGGTGCCTGTTAGTGAGAAATTTTAAGCTACCTGATTGGCTTACCGACGCCTCACGTTAACATTTCAAGTAAAATTATGCATATAAAACCTCTTTGCTTGTGTATCTTGGCGCCCTAAGTATAAATCTGGCCATATTTATTTGTAAACGTTCTAAAAGTTCAATATCATTTTTACCTCTAGACCAGGTTGAACAAGCATAATTAATTGAGGAAATACCAATAGCCTTCTATAGAATGTCCCGGTAGTAAACTTGGTTAAATTCATCTTGATTGTTTAGGATAGATTGAATATACCATATTATTGTATTACCTCAATTTATTACTTCATTGATGTGCTTGTGATCTGACAAATTTTCTTGATATTGTGCAGCCTAAATATGTGTATGTGTCAACCTCAATAATATTCTCTTCACCCAATTGCCATAGTCTTTTACCACTCACTCTCTTCCCCACAATTATTACATGTGATTTTTTATGATTAAACCTTAATTTATATTTATTACTAAAATCATTTGCAATGTCTAACATGCTCTGCAACTCATTAGCATCGTTTGCTAATAGTACAACATCATCGGCAAAAAATAGAGAGCGCATTTCCGTTTCATTAATGCAGACTCCACATTTGGCCGACCGAAGTAATTTTGCTAACTCATTAATGTATATTGAAAAGAGTATTGGTAACAAAACACGACCTTGCTTTACACCTTCTGTAACTTCGAAATAGTCAGTTTCAATTGACCCAAATTTAACGTTACTTTCAACCTTTTCGTATTAATTATTTAAAATTGACCATACCTTTCCTCTTATACCAACATTCCATGCATTCATACATAATGATTGTTAACGACAAACATTACAGTATATGAGATTAATATCTTCCGTTATCTCGAATAATTCAGCTTAATGTGAAAAAAAAGCAAGGAGCATGTTGTTCATGAATAACTACAAATATAACAACCCAAATTTTAGCTGCAGCAAGATTTAATTTACCGTACCTGTTAGATCTCACTAAATGTTAAAAGATTATTTCCTTATTATCGGCTGTATAACCAACTTTAAAACAAGTTGGCATAAAAATGTTTTGACAGTATAGTTTTCAAAAATCTTGAAGCTCCTCCATTTAAACATATGTTATACAATGTGCTAAATAAACTTTTCTTTGTAATTATTAGTTATTATTTATTTTGCTATTATAGATCTAAATTGTTAGTACAATCATGTTAGCAATATAATGCTATTATATTATTTACATTTTAAATAAGTGAACCAGGCTAACTTTTTCTATTACAGAAGGCTTAACTAGATTATTATATAATATACCGTGTAGCATAAATTTTCCATTTCCAAAAAAAAAAATCTAATAATAATCAATACTGGAGTTGACTAGAGGAGTTGTGGTTTACGGGTCTGTTGGTGACCGAGGCTTAACTTAATTGTGTTTTGCTTTTGAGTTTGACAAAACCAGATGAAAATATATTTTGGTGTACTAATTGAGACCAGGTCTTAAGTTAGAGCATACCATCTACAAATTCCAGGAAAAAAAAGCTAATTTTTGGATTTCATAATATGAATTATATTTGTTTGTGTCCAAGTTGATTTTGTTATTTAAAAGGTTTTTGAGTATGGTTTCAACACTATTTTTTTATAAATACTACTAGGTAAAATACTAAGAATATCTTCTTTTTTTTCCAAAAAACTGATTTAAAAGTAACTCATACGTCTTGTGCTGAATATATTAAGTGGCAAATCAATAATTATACTGTAACTTAAGATAAGAAATGCATGAATATAATTGAACAGTACATTTTTGCTGTGTATACGCTTACACCATCCAGCCAAGTGCCCACTTATTTACCCAAAGTGTCTGTGATTCCCTTAATAACCTCCCAAGCAAACTGCACATGTTTAGTCTCTGTGGACGCGGCGCAGATTGCAAACCTCAAGTGATAACGACCCTTCAGGTTTGACGGGCCCATATGTAGCTTACCACTCTCATTTATTGCCTTCAGTAACTCTTCATTCCGTTTATCTGGTCCCTATAAGAAAAAAAATGTTAATAATATAATTGAATATTAATTTAATGTTTTTGTTATCTCTTATCGATTTGCTTGTCTTTAAAAAATCGACTGTCATAAAAGAATGTTGCAATTTCACAAGAAAACAATTTGGTACGAAATGTAGAAAAATTAGGGTTTATTTTTTTTTTTTGCTATATTTTTAAAAATTTGGATATGTTGTAAAATACACATCACTAAATATAAAAAGTATGTGCGAAATTTGTTACATGCGCAAGGGGGGTAGCCAGCAAATTAAAGATGGCCGCCATTTTTTAAGATTGTATTACAGTACCAATAACTATATGTTTATGACATTAACAGATGCTAATATATTAAATATTCTTAAAAAAATTGACAATAAAAATTAAAATAAATTTTCACTTCAAATTTGCAAAATTAAAATTCAAAAAGGCCGCCATTTTAATTATTTTAGAAATTTTTTGCATCTCATTAATGCAAATAACCATTTAGTTAGTCTCGTAAAAACTAGCATTTGAAATGAAATATATTGCAAACAAGAATTTAGTTATCAGTTAAAAAATACACAGATGCAGGGTTGGTAAAATTCAAAATATACACCTATATTCAAATTAGCTTAAATATGCAAATTAGGGATGGTGAAAGAGCAAATATCGACAACCACTGGCAAGATACACATTTCTATTTGCTTTAATGCAACATTTTCTCGAAGTGTGACCGGAATTGTGACATTTGACCTACGACCATATTTTGCAGGATTTTAAAAATAGTGCAAAGAAAATAGATTTCCAGAAATGCAAACTAACATAAATATGCAAATTGAACATGGAGATGTTTAATGAAGAAGTTTAATGAAAATAATAACATTGACAGAAGATCATCTTGCTAGAAATGTAATACTGTTGCACATTAATGTTTTTGAGTCCATGTTGTTGTGTTGAGTTCGTGTTGAAGTGGTCCTTGACCATCAGCTAAATTTGACAATAATGCATATTATTAAAGTGTTGACCAGTGCAACTTATATGGATGTTGTCTGCATATATTACTAAATATATCTACATATGCAGTTGATAATTTCAGTCAAAATGATTACAGATTCCTGTTGGACATTTTTTGTCTGAAAGTTGTGAAGTCATTTGCATTATTTCTTAAGAATACTGTTGGATATTGTCTGACAGATTTTTTGTCAAAAGTCAAGGTCAAGTAATCAGTGAAAGAAGGAATCAATGTCACTGACAAAGAAAAATAGAATCAAGATTTCTATTATGAAGTTGATGGTCCAGAAAAATATATAGTGTGCTTCATCCAGATTAAATACCGAAACACTACTATTTTGTCAGTTTTTGTGGTTTTATTAGTTTCAAGTGAAGATTTACCTTCTAACTCAAAAATAGGCTCACAGTATAAGCGTGTGTCAATGAAAGGAGGTATCAAATAATATACCGTACCTCCTCGGGCTATGACATACTGTACTGTGTTTACTAATAAAGTATTCACATGGGTTTCGGTTATTATGAAATGTGTGGTGTTGTTTGTTTTTTGTATGACTTTGATACAGTAAAGGTACAGTTAATGACACATGACCCATCATGCACCTCCATAGAATTACAGGGTTACCCCCACTGGTATTACACTTTCAGCCATTTTAACTGCCCAATGGGGCATAGACACTAAAACTATAAATGTTATATTCTAAACGACTCGTCAAACACAATGTCTACTTGAATATCTTGTAATGCCAAAGTTAGGGAACATGGTTTTAAGTGAATTTTTTTCTCAAAATATCTTGTTAAAGAGTCAAATAGAAAATTATATCTGAATAATTTGAGACCAAACATAAATCTCTACAAACACTAGGCACGGAAATAAGGAAATCCCTTAAAATAAGGTCATTGGTCAAATTTCATTTCCAGTCACACTTTGAGAAAATGTTACATTAAAGCAAACAGAAATGTGTATGTTCTTAATAATTTAAAACAGAAAGCGAGTCTGTACAAACCATGGTTACCCAGATATGCTGTATTTCTATCCCTAATTTACATATTTGAGCTAATTTGCATGTCAACTGATGTGTAACTTCACCAAACTTGCCCACATCTGTTTATTTTGGTTATTATAATTATCTAATTAATTTATTCCATTTCAAAGGCTAGGTTTTATAGATTAATTAAATCATTAATTTTATACATTAAATATATGCTGAAAATAGCTAAAATATTTAAAATGGCGGCATTTTGAATTTCAATTTTGCAAATTTGAAAAGAAATATTATTTTTATTTTCATTGTCACTTATATGAAAGAACGTTTTATATATTAGCATCTTTTAATATCATAAACGTACAATTATTTGTAATAAAATGTTTGAAATGGCAGCCACTTTCAAATTGCTGGCTTCTGAACATTTATATCCCTGCCCAGCAGTACAGTTGCTGAAGCATAGCCAGCTGTGCAGTGGGGTGTTGCCCTGTAATTTCGAAGATATGCAAACATGTTCTCTTATACACATCTAGATGTGTATAAGAGACAGATATAATATACCGTGTAGCATAATGTTTCCAACCTTCTATAATCTATAGATCTTACTTCCGATGAGCACCAAATTGAAGGAGGAACGCAGTATAATTATATAATGTTGTTAATGTTTGAAAGTTTCAAATTAATCGGTCAAGTAGTTTTTGAGTTATGCTCCCGGAAGCACAAACACACCACAGACAGACACACATGCAGACGAAGCTCATAGCAATACCCTCTTAACCACTTAGGGGGTGAGGGTAATGAAGCCATGAATCTGAAAAATTAGAATATGGGACTAAAGGTATTTTTTAGAAGACTTGACTGACGAAAAAGTCTTAGGAATGATATAGAAAATAAAGAAGACATTTTGACATTGAAAATTAACAATACATTATCAAGAAGATAGCGACTAAAATGAGATTAAAAAAAGGGGTCCTTAGTCCTTGACCCAATCGGAATTTTCTGCACCAATACTTATCCCATCCAAAATCGGCATGGATAATTTATGGCGACAAAGTTTAGATTGGGAGAAAATTATGTTCAACAGATGTCTCATTCCTACAAATGCCAATGGTGTGTATTTTTGTAGATGAATATGAAAAGCATTTGGGGCATGTGTGTCCCAAATATTAGATATTAGATGACGGAAATTTTGATGTCTGTTTCGAGGCAGCAACATCTCTAGTCGTACCTTAAAAAGGACAAATAATGTCAAGACTCGAGTTGCAAGCACCAATTATTGCCACAAGACTATAATCGTGAAGACCAGGCTGGCATTTAAGAGGACGGTCTTTTTCACATACAATATCAAACTAGCATAAATCAGATGCCAGAACCGAAGCTACAAAGCATTATCACATAGAATTGGAAAGGTTCAGTGTGTAACAAGTCCATTACAGTGGACATATTTCTAAAGAACAGAACGACGTAGCTGCTGACGTCTCACGGTGTATATGTATAAATTGCAAACGGGACTTGAGTTTCTATATTAACCTGAAGCACACAGGGATAGATATGTTGCAGCAGGTTATTGCCAAACAGAGGTAGAAATTGATAAACGTGAATTGTGAGATGTATTTTTGGCCCTTTCCAGATAGGTATGCGGACTGCACGAAATTCTCCACTAGTAGAAGATTGGTTCGAGGGACAGGTTACGTATTGAGTTTTGTCTTTAATTTGCATACCAGAGAGACGACAGCCAAATGAAAATTGGACCTTTTCAACTGTTAAATTTGAAGAGTCAGAAAGACACCAGATAATTACTGTAAAAAATGTTTAAAGGAAAGATGAGCCAAAGCAAAGTGCTTTTTTTATTCATTAGAGTAGAGTGTAGAGCGAAACAGTGTGCAATAACGTACGCCATATCTCTCTACTCTGACAATGCGACAAGCACACAAGCAAAGTCATGACAAATTGGCAACAACCGTAGCTAAATCAGAAAAATAAAACTACTTGATACTAAAAGCCCACAGAATGGCAAAGAAAGTGAAGTGTAGATGTGTGGCATGTAGAGTAAGAAAGAAAAAAGTTGAAACCTAAAAAACTTGTTTATTGAGAGATTGGCTCCTTGAGGTTGGGAGACCAAACCGTTCACGCTGCGCCAAACTGCTTCAACATGTATGAATACAAATGCAGTGCATCTGAAAATAACAATTGGTTTTTCAGCGATTAATTTCTTACAAGTGAAGGTAGAAAAAGGTAGGGTTCTTTGCTAAAAGGGTATTCAGAAGTTATATTTAGTAATAATGGCACCCAGTTTATTGGGATTGAACAAGTGTTCAATCCCAATAAACTGTGAGGTACAACTTACGAATTTTGGCGCTGAAAGAGGAATTAAGTGGATATTTGTGACGCAAAAAGCCGACCTTAACAAAAAATAGTGCGCAGAGGCACTTAATCCATTATCGTTTTAGAATTATTTACTTTTCATCTGCTAACTTCGTCTCCATGTCATGAATAATATTTGTATGTTAGACATAATTAATCTGGATACGAACTTGAATAGCATGATAATCAATATATTATTGTATATTATGCTTATTTCAAAGTCTAAAATCTATTAGTATTTAGTAATTAGTAATAGCAGTACAGTAGTAATAGTCATCGTTGTAATAATAATAATAATAGTAATAATAATAACAATAACAATAACAATAATAATAATAATAATAATAATAATAATAAATACGTATAGTGTTAATAATAATAATAATAATAATAATAATAATAATAATAATAATAATAATAATAATAATAATAATAATAATAATAATAATAAATACGTATAGTGTTTATAGGAGCTGTCTGCCAGATGTCAATATTGGGTATTGCAGAGAATGAAGAAAAAAAGGTATATAGTGTATACGAACCTTTAACCTAAAGCTCACCAATCCCAAAACTACAGGGCTCACAATCTCAAAACGAGAATCCGACATAACCAGCGTCTCAAAATGGTGGGCTAACTGTACGTGCTGTAGTGAAGAAATATTTGGGTTATAAACATGTGACCATCCAATGAGTTACGCACCTGAGAGATAAACAATGGGATATTACCACCATCAGTATAAAATTTAAAAAAATAATTCTGTTAACACCAAATAAAAATTTGAGAGGTTTTAAGAACAAGCTTATATACAGGTAATTGAGGAAATAATTGTTTTAAATATATCTTTCCAAGTTTTCGTTAATGTGTGGTATACGTCAAATTATGTTGTACCTAATGAGTTTATAATTTAAATTTAAAATTAGGTTGATAAGTCTCATTTTAAATAAATGTAAGTTGTGTTTTACTTAATGTTTTAGCTGAATACGGTAAGTTAGTTTACTCCTACGAGAAAAAGGGCCGCCTTCATTGGGTTTTTGTGAGGGTGTAAGTACTAAATGGGTCCAGCTACATGCAGGAGGATGTCCAGAAAAAAGGCACTACTGTGTAAATGACATAAGTTTGAAAACTAACTCCTACTCCATGGTTTGAATGACGTGGAGAACTGTCTTTTGTCTTGTCATCTTTTGACATACTTTAAAGCCAAAAATAATGAACACCTCACACCTCCCCAAAAAAAAAAAAAAAGATGTGTATAAGAGACAGAAGTTTCTAAAAAATAAAAAATAAAAAAAATTAATGAAATAAAAAAAAAAATAAAAAAATCCAATAAAAAAAATACTGGTTATTTGCCAATATATTAGACCCCATTTAATGTTTATTGCCTATTCACTGTCCTACGAGGAAAATCCATTAAACAACAGGGGACTAAATAGACCAGTACCTCTTACTCTTCTCGAAAGATGTAACGTAATGTAATGTAGTTCGATTTACAAAGCGCTTTATCTCAAAGCCCTGTGGACTAGCTCGTACAGTATTAACTTTCTTCCCCATAAGGGTCTCTTTATGTCTGAACTACTGGGCAAACCGGTACCAGCTACTCTTGTCGTACTGGCTTCTTTAAAATGCACACTAGCAAAATTCGTACACCACTGGGCTTACGGTTTAAAACCCTTATCCGAGAAGGTTCGTTTAACCATGGCAACCATTGGCGAGTGAGCCATTCGAACCAGCGACGATATTATAGCCAAAGTTACGGCGTCTTAACCACTCAGCCAATTAACTCGATGTATATCTGAATAAATTCACAATGGATTTTAATGCTACTATTTAGGCTGAGCCTAACTGTTTTATTATAACAATTGGTACAAACATGTTTTAGCAGTGCAACTGCCATCTTCAAGGTAATAATGTTTGTAAGCACTTTAGAAGTATAGGACACTGAACTGAAGAGTATGAAAAAATGCATGAATAAAGATTAAATACATAAGATCCAGTTGGAGACGGAGTAGGCCTATTCATGTTTAAAGGAATTGAAGCATGCTTGAGAAGAAATGTATGAATAAAAGATGAGCAAAAGAACCAGAATGAATGAATGAATTAATAATATAATAGAGATAAACAATTAAAATCCACTGATTTTACTTGGATTAACAGAGATCAATGTGATACACCCATTTGACAACAAGATGAGATCGCGGAAGAGATGATGCTATTTTTATAATCATGATGTAATAATAATAATAATAATAATAATATCATTAATAATAAGAATAATAATAAGAATAATAAGACACACACACATATATATATATATATATATATA